GCGACCTGGGGGTGGGGAGCAAGCTCCTGGCCTCTGAGTGGCCTGCCCCAGCCCTGTCCCCTCTCAGAGCTCATTTCCCTGCCCCTCCCTCCTGTCTCCTCACACCCTGCCTTGTGTCCTGGGCCGGGGGCCCTGCTCCTGTTTGCAGCCCTACTGCCCCTCAGCCGGCCTCGAGTCCCTCCTCCCGGGTGGTCACACAGCCCCTCCTGCAGCCGGAATCTGCTGTGTTTCTCCAGTTTCTCCCGGGATGTCTGTCTCCCCCGATCTGTGAGGAGCCAGGCGCAGGGCTGACCCCCTTTTTCATGCTACACCCCACACAGAGCCTCAAACGGGTTTGGTGATCAGGAGAGACTTGGTTGTGGAATAAACAGGTAATGAACAAGTGGCTGGGTGGGTGGGCGAGGGGTCAGGCTGCCCTGTCCTTTCCCGACAAGGCCCTGGCCCTGAGCTGCCAGATGCTCCGCCCTTCTCCGTCAGATCAGCGTGCTGAGCTGTTCGTGTGCTAGGTATGCCTTTGACATCCTCTTTCTCAGAATAACACTTTTGAATGCAAGAGAGAACCCATATAGGGCTACAGAGGAAACTAGAAGTAAGTGTTGCAGTACTTATCAAAACATTATTTTAAAATGTGTGATCTAGTAATTAGCATGCTGTTGCATATGAGCGCCTTAACTAGCAAGACCTGGCGGCAGCCGTCCTACGGACTCCGTGGGAGCGGGGAGCAGAGCTGTGCAGCTCTAGCAGTCTGCATTGTTATAGGGCCTGGGGGCAGCCTGGGCTCGGTGTGTCCAACGTACATTTCACAGAGAGGCTGAAGGCAGGGAAGTTGATGACTTTTCCTCCATCGAGTTCACAAAACCCTGGCTTCTGTCCTTGGACCCTGCGGCAGAACCTCCGGGAACCTGCTCCACTGTCTCGGAAACTGCAAAGGCTGCCCCTGCTTTGCCCAGCCCCCTTGCCTTGCCTCCAGGGTCCTTGGGCAACCTTCTGTGGGTCTGAGGACCAAGGAAGGCATCCCGACTGTGACTTAAGCTTTAGTGTCCCAGCCATGGTGAGGGAGAGGTGGTCGGGGTCAGCTGCATCCCCAGGCCCCCACACCTGGCCGATGTGGGTGAAGTGCCCCGGTCAGGCATTGTGAGTCCCCCAGCAAGGCCATAGAGCGGAGAGGATCTCCCATCACCCCCAGGCTCAGCTGGAACCCTCCTGCTGGCCTGGCAGAAAGCTGACATTTCCTGCCCTGTGGGCCGAGCTCAGAGCTCAGCAGGGGTCAGAGTGACAGCCATGCTTTCCCCCTGCAGGGACCACCCTGCTGTGAGCAGTTCATAAGGGAGGAAGGTGGAGACGCCCTGTTCCCAAGCTTTGGGGCCTCTCATCTGACAAATGGGGAAACTAAGGGGACAGGGACAGGGGCGGTCCCCCCAGAGGGGACAGGGACAGGGGTGGTCCCGTGGTGTGCTGAAGCTGGAGTGGTCTTGGGTGGGCTACAGCGCTGCCTGGCGTCTTGTGATGCAGGCTTTAAGGAGTGCACTCTTGGAGCCCAGGGACAGAATCCTAGTTCCCAATCCCTTAACTTCCCCGAGGGACCAGGTTCTGTGCTGAGGCCCCACAACACAGTCAGACCCATGTTCTACCCTCAGGAGACCCTTGGCCTGGTGGACTCAGAAATACAGGCTGTACCCAGCATGGTCTGGTCCAAGACAGAGGGAAGCACAAAGGATGGGCTTGGAAATGGGTGTTGAAGGATGCATAGGAGTTTGAGGGAGAATGGGGAAGAGAGGGCCTTAGGTATCGTCTGGCATGTGGTGAGGCAAGGGATGGGAAGCCTTTCCTCTGAGCGCCATGGATGAAGAGGTGCTCCCATCTGCCCAGCAACCTGTGCGTCCTCGGCCAAGTCCGCTCCCTTTCTGAGCTGTGTGCCTCTGTCTCGCCATCCATCTGCTGTCCCTGCCTCCCTTTCCCCCACCTGCCTGGCACACTCGGCTCCAGCCCCACTGCCCTTCCCCGGCCTCAGCCTCAAGGCCTTTGTGGCTACAGTTCCCCCTTCAAGGAGTACCCTCTTCCCTCATTCTCTTCTCACCAGCTCTCCATCAGATGTCACCTCCTCAGACAGTCTGCCCTGACCTCTGGAATAGTCTCCACCCGTCTCTGGATTTACTCAATTTCTTTTTTCTTCCCCAGCCTTTTTTTTTTTTTTGGTTTGTCTTGCCCCAGCAGCAGGTGGGCCCCCAAGCACGATGTCAGCGCATAGTAGAGGCTGGGCAGACGCCGCTGAGCGAGTGAGTCAATGCTGAGTGTGATTCTGGCAGCAGAGCCAGGCCATGTTGCGCTCATGATCTGAGCTGTAGATGGGGCCTGGGGCAGAGCGATAGGCTTTCTGGAAAGCACTACTCTATCTTCCTGGACTCCACATCTCTGAGGTCAGCCTCCTGCCCATGGTAGGGTGAACCCCAGAGCCCTAAGAGTCTGTCAGGTCCTCCCAGGGAATCTTCTGTACCTGAAATAAGGCCAGATTTACAAAATAGGGAACCAAAAGAAGGAAGCTAAGGAAGCAACTGTCATGTGCTCCCCTACAGAGAGCAGTCAGGTTATGGGGGGGCTGAGGCCCTCATCCTGGCTGGCCCTTTGTGAATAGATCAATGTACCTCCCAAGCTGGGGACTTCCTTGCTGGGAGCAAGACAGGCTTGGAGGGCTCACTGCAGGGTTGGTGGCTGGAGTACAGAGGGACTGATGCAGGACACCTGGGTGCTAGGCCCAGCTCCGGCTCAGCCTGGTGACCTTGGGCATGGCTCCTCTCTGCACTTCATTTCCTTCTCTCAAAGAAGCTTGGGCCACCTCACCTGGGACGTCTCTGATGCAGTGAGCAGAAGCCAAGTACTGGGTCTTAGGGGCTCAAGAAACACGCTAGGAGTACTTATGGAGGAGCAAGGGACTTGGGGAAATCTTGGAAGGCTTCATGGAGGAGGCAGCCTTTGAGCTTGGAGGATGCATTGCATTCTGAGAGACAGAGAAAGGCATTTCATGGTGAGGGGACAGTTCAGGCTGAGGTGTGGGACATTCCACAGACATTGGAAGCCCAACCCTAGCTCTCTGCTCATTCCTACTATGTCCTTTTTTCTTTTGATTTATAAGAATTCTTTATATATTAAGCACATGGGTTCTTTTTAATAACAAACACTTATTATTTATCTTTTATTTTACTTATGATTTGTTTTGACAACATCATACATATTTTTACGTAGGCAAATTTCCCAGCCTTTCCTTTGGTGGTCTTTCTGGTCCCAGGATGTTTCTTGTGTCCTTACCTGGGGTCCTTGCTCTCCTGTGCACATGCTGGCTGCTCAGGACATGTCTGAGACTCAAATTAAGTTGAAGCTGGAAAATTTACAGCTGTATGAACATCAGAAGCCAGGGTGCCTTTGCTGACCTGTGCCTCCCGCTGGGGTTCCTGCCCATCATTCCTTCTTGCCTGGAGTGGGGTCCAGCTGAGGCCCTAAAGGGGCCTGTGACTCTGCAGGGTGAGGCAGAGCCTCATAGCTGTGATGAGGGGAGGGGGGGGCGGACAGGGAGCTCCCAGCTGGCCAGTCTCCGTGTATTCACTCATGAAAACCCCATGAGATAGGTGCTACAATTAGTTCCATTTTACAGGTAAGAAAACTGCAGTTCAGAGAGGTTATGTGGCTTGCCTAAGGCCACACAGGAAGGGATGGAGACAGGATTTGAATTCATGCCTTGTTGCCCCAGAACTCTTACAGTTTCAAGCTCTCTTATGGCCCTTGGGCTCCCCATTGCCTTTGGGATCAAGTCTGGGCCCGTTAATATGACATCTGAGGCCTCCTGGGTTGCCTCGGCTTCTGTGCCTGCACACGCTGAGCTTCCCTGATAGGACGGTGTCAAGGCTGTGCCCATCTCTTCGCACCTTCCCCACAAACCCCGAATAGTTTAGATCCTGGAATGGAGGGCTGGCAGGGCTTCTGTGGAGTAGCTGGGCCAGCCCCCTGGTTTGCAGACAGTCAGGGAGGGCCTTGCCCAAGGCTCAGTGCCTGGAGAATGGAGCTGGAATCTGCACCAAGACTGCAGGACTCTGGTGCTCCCCACAACACCCCAGGGTGACCTGAGCTGCTCTTAGCTGTGTCACTGTGCTACGGTTGGTCTCAGGCGGGGTTCTCTCCCCTGCTGCTTGCTGCTGCCTCCCCACTGGCAGATACTCCTCTGGGAAGCACCCCTCCTGCCACTGGGTTAGACACCTCCCCTGGGCTCCTGAGGGCCCAGTGAGTTGTGACTGCTGACTTCTCACCGTCTGCCCTGTGAGGCAGGGTGTCCCATGAAGGCAGGCTCCCAGTGCTTCCTCTTCAAGTCCTTGGTGCCCAGTGAGGACTTAAAGAGGGAGACCCAGAGAGGGACACAGCCCTGCCCCAGGTCACACAGCAAGTTGGGGCAGAACCAGGAGTTCCAGGAGGGCCCCAAGACCCTCCAGGTCTCCCCTGTTCCTGGGACTTACCGGAGCCCAGGGGCAGTGTCTGCGATGGCCACCCCAGCAGAGGGCGCTGCTGCGGGGCCTCTGCTCTCTGCTTCTCCCAGGGGCCTGGGGCCAAGGACATCCTCTCTCCCTCCTGCCCCCACCCTCTGTGAAGAAGGATGTGTTCAAGATAAAAATACCGTCAGAAACATTCCCTGGTGTTTGGTGTGACTGTTGTCCACCCTGTGGGGCCAGAATCTTCTCACCCGGCCTCACCTCAGGGCTCAAGGGTGGACATCTGCCTTTTCTGGCCACTTGGTGCAGCTTCTTCTTGGGGTCGATATGTCCAGCCCCCATCTTTATGCCAAAGAATGTGAGGGGCCTAAGGGGTCAGTGTCACTCAAGGTTCCTGCGGCTTCCACTTTCTGAGCATCCTCTGTGGTCCAGGCACATCTTGGGCATCGAACAGCGAGGTAGATCCTGCCCTGGGGGCTTGTGTGTCTTGTGGTTCCTTGCGGGCCCGGGGGGTTTCTGAGGACATCCAGCAGGCCACAGGGAGGCTTGGGCACAGCCAGCTTTCCTTCCGGTTGGGAAGCCTGTTTCTGCTCTCGGTGCCCGCGTGGTGTCAGGAACACCCGTCACAGTGAACACCTGCAGGACCCACACGGCTGCACAGTCTCCGCGGGCCAGACACCGAAGCCAGGGCATGGCTTACCCTCAGGACAGTCTCCTGAGGTGTGTGGGGTCTCCTCATTTTGCAGATGAGGAGTCTCAGGCCCCAGTGAGCTGGGGGGGCCGCCAGACCCCTCCAGGGAGGGTGACAGCTGCCACCTCCCAGAGACCCGCTGGGACCAGGCCCAGTGCCTGGCCTGCACCTTCGTCACCGCCTTCAATTTCATGGCACATCCTCTGGGAGGCCTGGCAGGCGTCACCAACCTCGTTTTTCAGGGGAAGCTGAGCCTCAGGAAGGGGAAGTGCCTTGCCCTGTTCCGTGGGCAGTTTCAGCCCCAGCCTCAGCCCAGGCCCTGCCCTTCCCTGCGGGAGGCTGTGGGCCAGCCCGGCCTGTTGGCCCTCAGTCATGGTCATGGGGAAGCAGTGCCCTCCCCATCCAGGATTGTGACCATAACCCCGGGAAACATTAGTGGGACTTACACTTGGCGGGGTGAGCTCACGTGGCGGCTGCCGTGGCCCCTGCAGGTGGTGGCAGCTCTGGCCGGGGCGTCTGGAAGGCTGGCTCCTGTTTATAGGGTCCTGCCCTGCCCTGTGGCTTCAGGCAAGTCGCTTCTCTGTCCCATGTCTCAGTACCCACTGTGTAGAGTAGAGCTAATTTTGCCTTCCTCCTAGATAAGAACAAATCCAGCTGGACTTGTGGTCGGGAGAATGCCCCTTCCAGGTCGTAGGGAGTGAGGGACGAGGTTGGGAGAGCCTGGTACAGGCCAGGTGACCAGCAGGATGTGGGGAGAGGCTGCTCCCCACACTTCTGGCCCCCACCCCTGCCTGGCTTCCCATGGCCCTGTGGCAACATCTACCTTCACTGCTCAGAGTTCCAGCTCCAGGTGACTGGGCAGGTGACTTAGCTTCTCTCAGCCTCAGTTTCCCTATCTGCCCAGAGGGGAGAATTGTCCCTCTCCAAGGCAGGGCTGTGAGTGTCGGGATGACTGCAGCCAGCTGCCGAGTATGCAGGGCCAGGCACAGTGTTGGCCCACTCGAGGAAGGGCATGGACCCAAGTCCCTGCCATGGAGGTTCCCAGCTGTGTGACGTTGGCTTGTGACGGAACCTCTCTGAACCTCTGCAGCTCATCCACCTGTCCGTCCATCCACCCATCCATCTCTGAACCTCTGTGTCCCCATCAGTTTTGAGAGTGGAATGACTGAGAGAGGCAAAGTGCGGGCCTGTGGCATCTGCTCCCAGGATGATGAGGGAGGGGGACGCAGGGGCTGGGGACTGGGGGACTTGGAGGGTGAAGAGGGACTGAAGGGCCACTAGAGACCAGGCAGGCCATCCCCTTTCAGAACAAGCTGAGAGAGGAGAAGTGACTCACCCAAGGTCACACAACTTATGAGGGGCAGAGCTTGGATTTGAATCTAGGTCTATGTGCCTCTAAACCACTGTCACCTGTCCCAGGAGGCTGATGAGGTGGGGATGACTCACCAACAGTTTGCTTAATCCCAGCCAGAAAAACCAGTGTGACAAACCAGCCTTGGCTGTAACCTTGGAAAGGGCAGGCCCCATGAATTCCCTGGCTGGGTGGTGGGGAGGTGAGCTGCATGTCACGTGGCTTACCTTGGAGATCCTCAGAGCCCCTTCCCACCATCCTCTTCTCTGATTCTCACAGCACACTGGATAGGAAGGCAGGGTACCCCTTTTGGCAGGTGGGGAAATTGCATCTTGGGGATTGCAGGGACCATGCAGGATGTGTGTGCACCCAAGGCAAGTCTCTGGCAAATTACTGATGTGTGCCCATTCATGTAGTTAGCCATGTGCCCACCTGCTCATCCATCAAGTCATCTATCCCACTCGCCCAAACACCCTATCCATCCATCTACCCACTCATCACCCACCCTCACACCTATGCACCCATCCACCCATCCATCTATCCATCTATCCACCCATCCATCTATCCATCTACCCACCTATCTGCCCACCCATTCATTCACCCATCTATCCATCCACCCACCCATCCATTCACCCATCTATCCGTCCATCCCTCTATCCATTCATTTCTCTACCCACCCATACACTCATCCACCTGTCCATCCATCCACCCATACACTCATCCACTCCACCCATCCATCACCCAAAAATCCATCCATCCATGCACCCATCACCCATTCATCCATTAATCTGTTCATCCACCCACTCACCCATATACCCACCCATCCAGCCAGCCATCCCTCTATCCATTCACTTCTCCACTTACCCATCCATTCATTCACTCACCCATCCATCCACCCAATCATCCATCCATCCATCCATCCATCCATCCCATTCATCTATCCATCCATCCACCCAGCTATTACCCATCTATCCACTCATCCATCCATTCATCCATCCATCCATCCATCTACACATTCACCCATCTATCCCTCCATTCATTCATCTACCCATCCACTCAGTCACCCACCCATCTACCCTTCCACTCATCCATCCATCCAATCATCTACTTTCACACTTACCCATCCATCCATCCATCCATCCTATTATCCATTCATCCACTCATCCATTCACCCATTCATCCACTCATCCATTCTTTCCTCCATCCAGCCATCCACCCTCACACCCAACCACTTATTCACCCATCCATCCATCCACCCACCCATATATTCATTCATCCATCTACCCACCCATGCATTTATCCATCCACCTACCCATTCATCCTTGCATTCATTTATCCACCCACCCATCCATCATCCATCCATCCATCTGTTCATTCATTCACCTACCCAGCTATTCACAACTGGCTCCAAGGTTGGTATTGGGAAGGTTCTGCAGGTGGTGGCTAGGAATACAGGCTGAGGGCCTGAATTCCTTTGTGACAGTAGGAGAATTACCACATTACCTACTTCTCTGGAATAGTAACAACAATAGTTCCAACCTTGTAGGATTGTGAGGATTATGTGAGATGATGTATGTAAACTGCCTACTATAGTGTCTGGCATGCAATAGGCACACAATAATTGTCAGCTGTTATTTTTCTCTGACACCCCATCTTGTTCTGCCCTTCTCTGGTTCTGGATAGTTGCTATGCTGTGAAGGTGTGGGGCATCAAAGGAGCAGGCCAGAGGCTCTTCCACCTCCTGCGGAGCCCCGGGGAAGTGAGCAGAAATGTGGGTTCATGTGGTTATGTCTTACTTGTGAGCCCCTCTGAGAAGAGCAGCCCCTCCTGCAGTAACTTGACTTTACTCTGTTAACTTTAGGGTGTTCTAGTGACTGGATCCTCTCTAGCTGGTGCCTGGGAAATGGCAGCCACTACTAATTCAGCCTTGAAGACAGTACCTTGCCCACTCAGCACCATTACGTAGAAGATAGAACTCAAGAGGTAAGAGTGAAGTCATTGATGTGCTCCTGTGCATCTAAGCATTCCTTCCACCAGACTCTCATCTGCACATCCTTCACCCCTCCACCCACCATGCCATCCATTCATCACCCATTCCCCCACCCATTTATCTGCTCAGCCTTCCATCCACCCAGCCATGCCTCCACCCCTCCACCCATTCCCTTGCCCATGCCATCCATTCCTCACCCATTCCCTCACCCAATTCATCTGCTCAACCATCCATCCACTCACCCTTCCACCCACCTAGCCAGTCCATCTATCTGGTCACCCCTATTGTCCACCCACCCATCTGTCAACCCAATTTATCCACCCATCTGCCCGACCACCCACCTGTTAATTCAATCACTATTCCACCCATCTCCTCATCCATCCCATTCAGCCGCTTAGTCCTTCACCCTTCATCTGGCTGGGGAGCATTTCCTGGGTGCCCCTCTTTGCTAGTACCTGCATCAGCCTCTCTGGGCCTCTGAGCTTGGTCAGAGAAGGGCCTGGGCAAGATCAACTCTCACACGAGGTGGGAAGTAGCTTCTGGCCTGAACGGGAAAAGCCCAGTGCTAGAGGATCCTAAAGGGGGTCAGGGGAGGAGGAGGAGGAGAATTGATGTCTGGGGCATCCAGGAGGGGATGCCAGGGTTAAGGAGCCTTTGCTGTGGAGAGGCTACCAGAGACCCTATGAGGAAGGCCCAGGAGACAAAGGTTCCAGCGCAAGTAGTTTCCTGGGAGGTGATCTCAGGAGTAAGGAAATGAGGTGAGAAAGAGAAGGAGGTAATAAAGGGCATGTCATTGATACAGTTACTGCTGGGGCACTGGAGCCCAGTCCCAATGGGGAGGCCAGGGAAGTGGTGCCCCTCCCAGGGGCAACTCGCCGGGGCCCAGCCACCTGCTCCCGTCAGTCACTGACCAAAAGCTGTCCTGGCAGCATCAGCTCCCCAGCCTGCCCTCTGAATGGCAGAGCGTGCCCGTGGCTAGAGACAGCTTTTGGGCAGAGAAGCACTGTGGTTGGTGTAGGAATTGAGACAGGTGGGCCTGAGGTGGCAAGGGCCTGAGATACCAGCGGGGCACCCCCCACCCCATGCCCCACACACAGTGATGTGTTGCTGCTACCTCTCTCCTCAGGCCTAGCCTGCATTTGGCATGGGAAGCCAGCATGGCATTGGACCCAAATGTTTGTGGGCCATGGGTTAGCTTGGTGGACAGAGGCCAGCTGAGTCTCTGGTGGGGAAGTTTGGCCTGGAAAGGGGATTGGGTGCAAGAGGTCATCATCTTCCTCTAAGATTATGAGACTTAGGAATGCAACCCCCAACTCTCCCTCTCCCTTCCACATCAGCCTGGGCTCTCCCCCATCCAGCCAAGCTTCCTCACTGCCCCCAGGGCGCCCAGCACGTCTTTGCCCCCCACTCCTGACACTGGCAGTGCCCCCCAGGAGTGCCCCTCCTGGCTGCCTGTGCCCAGCCTAGCCTCCATGTGATCCTACACCCTAGGCAGGGCCTGACATGAGGGAGAGCCCCAAACCCTGCAGCCAGCGCTGCCTCTCACTGGCTCAGAGCCTCAGTCTCCCCATCTGCAAAGGAAGGGCTGGGCTTTCCAGGCCCCTGTGCTGCATCTGATGAATGGTGACTGGATTAGGAGAGATTCTGAGCTGCCCTGGATGCAGTGGATGAAGCTCTGTGGCTGAGGGATGGTGCTTGCCTGGGCAAGGCTGGAGCAGGCACCTTGGGCGGGGGGCGTGTGCCAGCCTTCCGTGCCCGGAGTGATCTCTGAGGGGTCTTCCAACGGTGAGGCTCGATCATGAGGTTGAGTGCCACGTCTCCGAATGAGGGTGAATGGCCGTGGGTCGGAGTACTGGTGAGGGCCCTTGAACCTGTGCTTTTGAGTGCTGATTTGCGGCAGTCTACGTCTCATTACCACCTGGGATTGCAGGGGCTTGGGACCAAAAGGATTGCAGTGCCACGCACACAGTCAGGCCTCCAGTGTTGGTGTTGTGGGGCACTGGTTTTGCCCTCACAGCCTAGTCTGGAAGCTTCACTCCTGAAAGGCTGTGTGACCCTCACAGTGACTCAGTCTTTCTGAGCTTCCGTCTGCTCATCTGGAAAATGGGGATACTAGTTACAGCGTGATGGTAGGGAGTAAATGAATCAGTTTATTAAAGCTCTTAGAAGAGCACCTGGCAGATAGTAAGCACTTGATAGATACTGAGTGCTGTGCTCGTGCCTCGGGAGGCGCCCCAGCTAGCTGAATAGTCTCTGCGTGGGGGATGGGGGCTGTTGGCGCCTCCCGCTCTGAGTCCCTATGTCTTAGCCTGGGTGGTGCAGGCCCCTGCACTCTCCCTTCCGGTCAGTGTTTTCTTGGTGTCTGGGAATGTGAGTCCAGGCCTTGCCCTGGGCTCCTCCCGGATGTCACCGAAACCTGAGAAGCCCAGGGCCTCAGGGCAGTGGGCATGGGGCATCCAGCTCCATCCGGAAGCACCTCCCGGTGACTCCTGGACCCTACCCTTAGGTCACATGGCAGCTGCCGTCTGGCATCCTCTCTAAAAGCTCCCAGCCCAAGCCCTGGTCCATTCTTCAAGTGGACTGGTCGCTGGGGAGGCTGCGTCTGTAGGCACCGTGGCCAGCAGAAAAGCAGGGATCTCCGGGGGTCTGCCGGGCCCGTGCTCTCTCCCCACTGCCTGCTTTCTGCCTGCTGGGTTTGCTTCACTGCCCCTTGGTGTTGAAACCGCCTTGTCTAGCTCAGGTAGTGTACCCCAGCACCCCTCTCCCATTCCCCTCCCAGCGACCCTGGGACCCTGGAAGGCCAACCTGGGTGTCTGCGAAAGACAATCCTAATTTTAGGAGTAAGCACCTTGTCCCGGCCCTCGAATTCCTTTGTGACCTGGGACAAGTCTCTTTTTCTCTTTTGGACTTGGTTCTCCCATCTGTGAAATGGGGAGCCGGCCTCCTTGCTTGCTAAAAGCCCTCTTGCAGCAAAACAAATTCTCTGATTTCATGTCTTGTCTGATTTCACCATATGCACCCCATTGAGCAGGAGCCAAAAAGGCCTGTGTGTCCCTGGTGGAGGATATTGTCCTATATTTTTTAAATTGCGTCCTTAAAGGCCGCATGGTTGTGTAACTTCTTGCCACGCCTGTGTTTATGCAGGAGTGTTCTTGGGACATTGTCTAACTTGTGGTGCTGGGGTTACTATGCCAGGGTCCCCTTCTGGGTCTGTCTTCACGGTGCTGGATTCACCAAGTACCCAGTGAGGGGAGCTCCCAGCACCCCCGGAGAGGGTCTCTGTCTCTCTCACACATGCACACACGGCAGAGCAGGGCTGTGTGAGGCTGAGGACTGACATTCTGGGCTTCAACTCTCTCTTCTGCTCAGTTTCCAGGGTCCTGGGACAGGTGTCTGCTAGTTTTTGGCTCTGGGAAATGAGGGAGTGGGGCGTGAACTTGACCTTGTTGATGGTCTCTGTGTGGTAAAACCACACGGAGAGGAATGTCAACAGAAGTGGGGGTTTCCAGGCCTGCGCGACACCGTCTGGGCAGGTCCAGGGTGCCCAGCCCTGGCAGAGATGCCAGGAGCTGTGGCAGCACCCTCACCAGTCTGGTAGCTGGCCAGTTTCGAGGCCGCCAGCTGCTGGGAGCACGTGCAGACCGGGCTCTCTGGCCTTTGATTCTTCTGATTCTGTTCCTTGCAGGCTTTGAGCTGCTCCGAGCAGGGGCTGGAGCAACCATGACCCGCTGGAAGTCCCTCAAGGCCCCTGGGCCACACAAATCCAGCCCCTGTCAGCTGGTGGCCTCACGCCGGCGTCTGAGTGCCCCAGCCCTGGCTGCCTCCCAGGAATCTGGGTCTGAGCCCCCTTCCCAGCAGAGCCTCAGGGGTCCCCCCTGCCACCGGCTCCCCACCTCCTGGCCCAGGCAGAAGCAGTGTCCACCATTCCGGCCCTGCGTCCCAGCTCCTCAGCGTCATGGTGAGGTGGTCAGCTGCAGCGGTGTTGGGGGAGGACGGCAGAGTGAGGAGAGGTGCCCGCTGCAGAGCTTGGGGGCCCATGGTGGGAGACTGCGCTAGAGGTGGTTTAAATCTCAGCTGTCCTGCTTAATGGCTGTGTGACCTGGGGGGAGTCACTTAACCTCTCTGAACCTGCACCCCCGGGTTGTTGAGAGGATGATCTGAGAGCAGCCCCTGATGGGTCTGCTCCCCGAGGCACTCAGGACCCCGCCTGCTCTCCCTGGATCTCTCTCAGGTGGCAGTTGCTGTGTGCTGCTCGGACCGGCCAGCTCGGGGCTCAGCAACCGGTGCAGCCCTCGGGAGTGTTCTACAGCCTGGCTGGGCAGGCGGCTCCACCGTCACCTGTTGCTCAGGTGTTTGGAGCAGAGGCCAGAGGCCGCGCCCGCTCTGAGGCCGGGACTAGTGTGGGCGTGGCCAGAAGCTGGGTCACCCAGACCGGGGCTGAATCCTAGGATTGCTGCCTCCTGCCTGTGGGACTGGGGCAAGGCCATTCTGCCTTCTGGGCCTCCAGGTCCTTGTTTGTAAAGCAGGGTGGCCCACCCCTCCCTGGAGGGCTTGAGAGGCCAGCAGAAGGCTGTGTGCAGCACCCGGTCCACAGTGGTCCCAGCCCCCTAGGACCTTCTCTTGGGGCCTCAGTGTCTTCGTAACTGAGTAACGTGGCTGTAGGTATGCAAGGGGCAAGGCTCTGTCTAGCTCTGAGGTCATGGTGTGACTGGACTGGGACTGGGGGTGCTGGGTCCCCGTGAGCGGGGAAGGGTGGGCCTGTCCAGCTTCTCAGTGTGGGGCTAGTGCTGGAAGGCCCAGGTCTCCCTGCTTCCAGCCTAGCCTAGCCGAGGCAGGCGGCCATCCAGATGCGGCTGCGGGCCAGGCGGTGCCGTAGCCCCTAGCTTGCAGATGCCCTAGCCTGTCACTGATAGGCCAGTGTGGGGCCTTTAGTGGGGGCAGTGCAGCCTGTGTGTCCTGGGTGTGGACACGTCGGTGGCTGAGAGCAGGCTTTGTTCTGGCTGGCATGGATGCCCTGCTGCAGGGCCTGTCTTGGGGTGCCTGAATGTGCAGTAGGCTGGCCTGGAGCCAGGCGCTGCCTGCAGTGAGCTGAGGGCGGTCCTGGGAACAGGTGACACCCCTGAACACTGCCCAGATGCCAGGGTGGTAGCCTTGCAATCTTCCTTAGAGACATGGGAAGCAGGGGCTGGGGAGGGCCCTCAACTGAGGTCAGCCAGGGAGCGCCCATGTCTGGGTGCCAGATCTGACCCTCCTTGGCACTGCTGGTGATCAAGAGGCTGCAAGCATGGCATGTGGGTGGACACTGTAGGTTGGGGCGTGTGGGTATCAGGAGGGTGGTGGGACCCAGCTTGGGGTATTCAAAGTGGGTGGTGACAGGGGTGGCAGGCCCCATTCTAGGCCCTAGGAGGGACAACAGGAAGCAAAATAGAAAACATCTCACACCTGTAATCCCGGCACTTTGGGAGGTTGAGGCAGGTGGATCGCCTGAGGTCAGGAGTTCGAGACCAGCCTGGCCAACATGGTGAAACCCCGTCTCTACTTAAAATACAAAAATTAACTGGATATGGTGGCGCACGCCTGTAATCCCAGCTGCTCAGGAAGCTGAGGCAAGAGAATCGCTTGAACCCAGGAGGCGGAGGTTGCAGTGAGCTGAAATCGCACCATTGCATTCCAGCCTGGGTGACAAGAGCAAGACTCAGTCTTAAAAAAAACAAAGAAGAAGAAAAGAAAAAGAAAACGTGCCGCCCTTGGGGAGTGGTGGTCTCAGGGTGGGGTTGATGGGTGAGTGCCCCCGGCTACATTGTTATTGCTGCCACCATTGTGCCCTCAGAAAGGGCAGTGCGGTGGCTATAGCGGGGATGGGACATGGGTCTACCTGGGGCACAGGGAGACCTCTGGTGCCAAGGTGGTGAGGCAGTGCCATGATGTCTTGGGGGAGGGTGTCCAGGGTGGATTTGAGTCACAGCCTGGGGCCAGGGGCTGCGGTTGGAAGGGGAATCTGCTGGAGGAGGCTGGGAGGTGAGGTCTGAGGGGTCAGGGGCTTCCCTGTGCAGGTCCTGCATGTCCTGGGGAGCCTCTGGCATTGAGCAGGGGAGGGACAGGCACCGACTCAGCTTCCATAGGCTCTCCATGGCTGGCATGGAGACTGGGGGGCCACGGGTAGAGGCAGAGAGGCTGGCATGGTGTCCCCCGAACTGGCTGGGCAGGCACTGGTGAGATTCAGGCCTTGAGGGTGGCAGAAAGGGTCGGATCCTAAATAGACTCTTCAGAGCCCTCAGTGTGGGAGTAAGGTGTGGGGCTGAGGTTTCTGGCTGGAGTTGCTGGGGGGACAAAGAGGGTGGCCACTTGCACTGGGAAGGTGGAGTGGGGAGCTGGCTTAGGCAAGACCAGAGCACTCATGGGTCAATCAGGGTGGAAGTGTCCTCCAGTCATGTCTGGGGGCCCTGGGATGGGAGTGGAGGAGCCTGGAGCCACCAGCCCAGCCAGACATGCTCTCCTCTCTGTTGCAGGAGCCGCTCTGCCTGGAGGTAGCCTGGGGGCAAGCCAGAGTCCTCCAACCCCCGGGATGACCGCGGCCAGCCGGGCCAACCCCTACAGCATCGTGTCATCGGAGGAGGACGGGCTGCACCTGGTCACCATGTCAGGCGCCAACGGCTTCGGCAACGGCAAGGTGCACACGCGGCGCAGGTGCCGCAACCGCTTCGTCAAGAAGAACGGCCAGTGCAACATTGAGTTCGCCAACATGGACGAGAAGTCACAACGCTACCTGGCTGACATGTTCACCACCTGTGTGGACATCCGCTGGCGCTACATGCTGCTCATCTTCTCGCTGGCCTTCCTCGCCTCCTGGCTGCTGTTCGGCGTCATCTTCTGGGTCATCGCTGTGGTACATGGTGACCTGGAGCCGGCCGAGGGCCGCGGCCGCACGCCCTGTGTGATGCAGGTGCATGGCTTCATGGCGGCCTTCCTCTTCTCCATCGAGACGCAGACCACCATTGGCTACGGGCTGCGCTGTGTGACGGAGGAGTGCCCGGTGGCCGTCTTCATGGTGGTGGCCCAGTCCATTGTGGGCTGCATCATCGACTCCTTCATGATCGGTGCCATCATGGCCAAGATGGCGAGGCCCAAGAAGCGGGCGCAGACGCTGCTGTTCAGCCACAACGCCGTGGTGGCCCTGCGTGACGGTAAGCTCTGCCTCATGTGGCGCGTGGGCAACCTGCGCAAGAGCCACATCGTGGAGGCCCATGTGCGCGCGCAGCTCATCAAGCCGCGGGTCACCGAGGAGGGCGAGTACATCCCGCTGGACCAGATCGACATCGATGTGGGCTTCGACAAGGGCCTGGACCGCATCTTTCTCGTGTCACCCATCACCATCCTGCACGAGATTGACGAGGCCAGCCCGCTGTTCGGCATCAGCCGGCAGGACCTGGAGACAGACGACTTTGAGATAGTGGTCATCCTGGAAGGCATGGTGGAGGCCACAGCCATGACCACCCAGGCCCGCAGCTCCTACCTGGCCAACGAGATCCTGTGGGGCCACCGCTTCGAGCCCGTGCTCTTTGAGGAGAAGAACCAGTACAAGATCGACTACTCGCACTTCCACAAGACCTATGAGGTGCCCTCTACGCCTCGCTGTAGCGCGAAGGATCTGGTGGAGAATAAGTTCCTGCTGCCCAGTGCCAACTCCTTCTGCTACGAGAACGAACTGGCCTTCCTGAGCCGTGACGAGGAGGATGAGGCGGACGGAGACCAGGACGGCCGAAGCCGGAACGGCCTCAGCCCCCAGGCCAGGCATGACTTTGACAGACTCCAGGCTGGCAGCGGGGCCCTGGAGCAGCGGCCCTACAGAAGGGAGTCAGAGATCTGAGCCAGCCTTGGCCAACATGCAGCATCCACCCCCAGCCGGGGAGAGGCCCCGCCATCGCTCAGGGGCCCCGGGTTTGAGCAGAACGGGCCCGGTGCCCTGGGTTGCAGACTCAGTAGCGTTTTAGTCGTTTTATGTTTCTTTGCAACAGCCTCAGAAGGTTGGCCGGAGAGGGGGCAGCCAGAGCTGCAGCCCCCGGCCTCAGAGGCTATCGCAGGCTCAGGGCAAAGAAGTGGGCTCCTGGGGGGCCAGGCCACGGGGGCCAGGGCTCCTGCCTGAAGATGGAGCTGCAGCCTGCGGGGAAGCAGCTCAGCTCAACGGTGGGCCCAGCCTCTGCTGTCCAAGGCTATCCGGCTGCGGTGCTCCTTGCTGGTTTTTAACTTGGGGAGAAACACCGGGTTTCAGCTTTCTCGACCTTAGCTTGGGTGAGACTGTTTACAAAAAAAAAAAAAAAAATTACCATGCAATTGAAAAAAATTTTTTAATTCATAGGGGGCAAAAAGAACAATTAGAATTCCATGGGTCTGCCAGGATGCAGCAGCTGGCTGGAGGCTCCAGAGGGTTCCCCGAGGTGGGACTGGCCTCTCCCTGTGTGTGTGGGCACCGCAGTCCCTGGGCAAGCAGGGTGCTCTGGGACCGCACTTCGTCGAGCTCACGAACCAGCTAGGCTCTGTTTGTGATAGAAAAATCAAGACCATGTTAATGATCATAATAAAAGCTTTCTACTGTCATTGGGGTGGTGGGTGGGGGCTGGGAAGAAACTGGTTTGAGCTTTTAGAGTTTGACTTTGTACCTTAGAGATGCGTCTCAGGGCCAGGCATGGGACCTACCTTCGAGGGTTCCTCCCCCGACCCTCGATTTTCCTGTTTTGCTTCTCTCTCCGTTTCTGTCCAGGCCTCCACCCCTTCCACAGCGAGGGGTGGTTAGGAGCCATAGGCCGGGATGGCTCCTTGGAAGGGAAGTCGGGATCCCAGGCTAGGAGGAAGCTGGCAGCCCTGTCCCCACCGGGCCCACAGTGTGAGTCGTGCCTTAGAGACTCCGGGTTGTCCTGTTCTTTCTGGGCTCGCTCGTCTCCCCAACCCTGTCCCACCCCTCCCCGCCCATACCTCCACTGCTGAATTTCCTCCAGCCCCTCTGTCTGCCTTGTGAAGGTGGCAGGGACCAGGTCTGCCTGCCATAGGACCACGTCGTGTCCCTCCCTCACCTGGGGCAGCACAGCGGAGTCCAGGCAGGGCACAGCCAGGCCCTGGTCAGCGCTGAATGGCAGAGGAAAGATCTTAGGAAAGGAGAGGAATCATCACCCCCTCCCATCAACTGGGATGACCGGGGAGTGCCACGCCCATTCAAAGCTGAATCAGAAACCAGCCACGGAACAGAATTCCTGCCGAGGCTTCCAGGGTCGCTCCTCCACCACCCTTCCCCAGGTCGAGGCACTGTGGCACCCTCATCACAAAGAGGTTTGGGGTCCCCTTGTCACCGCTGTTCATGGTAGCTGGTTGGGTCAGGTCCGTGATGGAGCCAGGCCCTTCCCAGGACCGCGGAGAAAAACTGCTCTCTAGTCAGACCTCTCCAGAAGCTGGTAATCAGAAAGGATGTGTCTCTTGCTCCAACTCTGCCCCGGAGACAGCTCAGAGCCAGAAGGCACCAAGGACTCTGGCCCAAGTGGGGAAGCTGAGGCAGAGAGCAGAGGGGGTCATGCAGTGAGCAGCTGGGGTGCGGGAGGCAGAGAGAGGCCGGGGGCCTGGGGTGGGGACGTCTGCCTCTTCCCTCCACCTCCTCCGCTCCTCAGCGGCTGAAGACTCAGCCCGAGGTCTGGGGCCATGGAAGTGAAGACACCTGACCCCTACACCCTGGAGTAGGCCCGACTCAGCATCCTGCCCCAGCTTCAGCCCCACACTCATTTCTGGCATAGAAGATTCCGTCGAGACAGCTCTTTCCTCTCGGGGTCTGCGGGGGGTGCCTCAGCCGGTTCCTGCTCCCAGGCCTGGCCCCGAAGCCTGAGGGGCTTTCTCAGCCTTAGCCCTGGGTGCTGGGGTGAAGTTGGCAGCGGAGAGCTTGACCCTTCACCTCCCTGATGGCCATGCTGAGGGACAGTGGTGACCCTGGTCACTTGGTGCTGGTGTAGGGGCCTGTGCCCTTCCAGGGCCAGTGAGCCAGCCTTCTACTCCCCTGACCCAGAGTTGAGTCCAGGGGACCCAGGCCCACCCCCTGGCCCTCTTGGAGGTCTGTGCCCTTGCCTCCCTGCCCCCACCCTGCAGGAGAGCAGCCCCAGCACCTCGTCTCCCCAAAGGCAGGCAGATGCTTGATTCTCCTGCCCTCTTTCTTCCTTCCCCTGTATTTATTTATTTATTTATTGCTTGTGCTAAAGACCAAAATAGTCTCCCTCTTTAGTGCACTTGAAGCGGGAGGGCGGATGGGACGAGCCAGGAGCGAGGAAGACTTGGCCCCTGGGGAGTGTGTGTGTGGAGGCATGTGCCTGTGTGAGCCTGCATGCATACATGTGTGGCGCACACACGCACACTCGGCTCTTCACGTGTATGACTGGGTTAGTAATACAGATATGTGATCTATACGTGTGTGTGTGTATGCAGGTGGTTTTGTGTCTGTCTACCCACAGGTGTGTCCGTGTGGAAGTTTCCTGTGAGGGTGGGCACCTACCCATGAGGGTGGGCACTGGCACAGTTGAACCCCACGGTCCCCGACCCTCTGCCCTGATTACGCACGTCTGCGCCTGAGCGGAGCTTGTGTTCCAGGATGAGGCACCTGGAGGTGAGCGTGTGCATCCGGCTTGTGTGTAGGAGGCTGTGTGTGTGCCCATGTGAACCCGTGTACTTGAGTGTGTGTCTGTGTGCAGCCTGTGCCTGCTGCTCAGAGCACGGTGGCCGCCCCCTGAGCCTCTGCTGGTGCTGTGCTGCCTGGTCCCCGCCCAGAGGGTCCTGGGGGGCGGGGAGGAGCCACTGTTGGGAGGCCCCTGTACAGGGTGTCTGCCCTGCGTGAGGTCAAAGAATGTCAAATTATTTTAAATGGTGAAACTGGAGAATTTTCATGTTATTTTCAATACATAGCCGTATCTAAAGACGTAGGCGATGAGACTAGACCACATTAAATGCATTTTGATCTCTTTGAGGTCCCCTGTGTCGGGATGTGTTTTCTGAAGCTCCCCTGCATGGCTCCACAGCGTGCTGGGCGTCCGCCCGGCTTCCTCAGCCTCTGCCTTGGGGTTGGGGGTTCCTGGGGCTTCCTCATGGGTGAGGGTGGGGCATGGGTGATGGTGGCAGCTGTTGGGAGGTGAAACAGAACTCAGCCTCCTCACAGCTCCCAGTGGTCTCCAGCAAGCACACAGGGCTTGTCCCATGATGTCACCCCTCCCAGGTGGCAGGGCCGAGCCTCCCACCTTCCCTTCCTTCTACAAAGATGTGCTGGGTGCCTGCTGTTACAGCAGCGCCCTCCCTAGCCCCAGTTGACCTCCTCAGTTGACCTGAGACGGGCAACTCCTTTCCCAGGAGGGGAAGCCCTGCTCCAGCTTGTAGCAGGCAGGGGCTGAGGAGTTTCAGAGCATGCTGGTGTCTCCACTGAGGTGATGAGACAAGCCTGGGGTGGGGTGGGGGGAACACACATGGCCTATTTTTTGGAAACTAGACTTTCATCTGTACCTTGAAGCTCAGGCTCAGATCTCCAAGGTCTTCAGTAAGGACTTGTGGGGAGAGAATTCCTTCCCTTCCCAAACTATGTGAGTGGAGAGTTCTCTCCTCTGCGTCAGCAAAGGACTCGGGGAACCCTCTTTCTGCAAGATTTAGACGATGATTCCAGACAACCCCAGATAAGAATCCCCTGCCCGAGTCATTCCTGGGTGATGGTGCCGTGCATGGCAGAACATGGAGAAGGGGCTTGGGTGCCAGAGCCTAGAGGGTCATGAAGGCTTCCCAGTGGGAATTCCCTTGGGTTGGACTTGGGATGACAGGGAGACCCTGGAGGTGGCTTGGTTTGGTGGGGACCTCCTGTCTGACTCTGGAGCCCTCCTGAGACCCCAATAGCAGAATCTAAGCCAACTGGAGCCAAAACATGGTGGCATCTGTCTCCACTCCACTCAACACCTCCGGGCCATTCCCACGGCCCTGACTGATAGGCATGAGGCCCTGGCCCCAGTTGGTGCTCAACAAATATTTATCATAGAGTCTCTAGGTGCTCTGTCCTGGCTGTGCGAATGCCGCAAAGGACGCTGGGTCAGAATCCAGGCCACT